TTACATGGGGGGAGACGGGGGGGGGAGTGATCCCACCAGATGTCCCGCGTACACAGGAGTGTCCTGTATCTCACGATTCCTAACGTCACACGTTAAATCTTATACCAGAATGTGAAACTTCCTATTGCAAATTTTTCACGACAAGTACTCTTGTCGTAATAATATCTACAGTGTAGAAATGAAATTGATTTTCGCTTTGCAAACATATGCAGTTTTCATTTTCGTTATGTCGACAGTTAAAATACAAATAAATGCATTTTATAACCTAAGTATACACCGCAAAATTCATTATTGTGAAAGCTCTGCATTGAAATAAGAGACTTAATACTTTTTTTTACGACGAAACGGATAGAAATAGGCAAATAGAAGCAATCGTGCACCCGATATCCTGAAGTGTTCGAGAGCTACGGATATGTATCGAAAAGTTCGGTAAATTTCGTAGACGTAGGAAACGTAGCAAATTTATTGAAGTGCATGCTACCTAATGCAGCTCGTGGAATTTTTATTGACACGTAACAGTTTAAATTTTATCGTGGAAAGATGGTAACGGAAATGCACGCAATCCCATACTTTTCTATACTTGCACTTAGAGATATCTTCAGAAAGTAACCGGCGCGGCTGTGCGTTTGTGGCGTTCGTAAGTTATAGTTGCGAAAATCCAGCGTGATTAACAGCCAACTTGATCGTATATTTTTCCTGGTGCTCCCATTACCTTATCATTCGCTCTATAAGCGTAGTGATTTGCATTGTAATTACATTGCAACGTCACCCCTTGTTTCAAATATAAACGAGACTATTATTACATCAAAAGGATTTCATTAATAATTTAAGAATATTTAACATATTATTAAGAGCTACTCTCAAATTATAATTATCTTAATTATCAATAAGAAATTTTCAATTAATAAAAAATATTCTTTAAACAATTCAAAAAATCCAAACTTTATATTTTTAATATTCACATAGTGGCTTATATAGCCTATTTGTCAAAAAATAAAAAAAAATTTGATAAACAGACAGGTGTCAAAATGTTTTTCGGGGCCAACGTTTACATCATGAAATACTTTAATCATTGTGACACAAGCTGTTAATCGTTTCATCATCATGCAATTCCTTGTGAGGCATTTAAAGTCATAAATTTAACATGAATAACAATTGTTGGTATACCACGAGCTTTATTCCATTTATCTCTATGATCTCTCGCGGGTAGAAGTTTCATTATTTACAGAATTAAAAGAGACTCACTAGCAATTCGCGTTATAATCATAACTAGGTGTTTACAAAATAATCTGTGTACGATAAAAGACTTAAAACCGCATAAAATAATTCACAATATAATTTAAGCAATAAAAACTTTAACACTTATTTCGTTCGTGCGGAGTAGTTGATGATTAATTAAAAATGTAATTTTGATGCTCCTTATATTAAAAAGACTTAAAACCGCATAAAATAATTCACAGTATAATCTAAGCAATAAAAACTTTAACACTTATTTCGTTCGTGCAGAGTAGTTGATGATTAATTGAAAATTTAATTTTGATGCTCCTTATATTTAGCTTCGCTGGATAGTACATAATTGAAATCAAATCAATTACGTCGGCTGTTACGGACCGAATGATTGCTTTTCAAAATGCAAACCCAGCAGAGAATAATCAATGTCCGACGCTATAATTCATGCGTCTCTTCTCTCCTATTATATGAATAATGTATAAATATTACAATGGGACGAGTCATGATTTGTTCCACGATACATTCCCAAGTTCAGCAGTTTCAATTTAAGCGTATTATTTTCTATGGAAAATATCAGTTCGGGCTTCGATTTAATTAAAGAGACCTTTGCGTTACGTCGCCGTATTCTTATGACTACTGTAAAATTTTAATTAGAAAAGTTTCATCGTGCACACAGCAGGATAGCAGCAAGCTGCAGAAACTGACCTTTTAATTAATGCCGCATTGTGAATGCATTTAGTAATAACGAGGCGGCGAGGAAAAAGCGACACAAGGGGAACACTTTTGCTTGTGCGGTTATACTTTGCGGTTGTAATTAGCGCAACTCATGTTCGCTACAGAAACGCGGTATTTAAAGGAATCATCATCGCTGTCGGCGTCGTTGTAAGAGAAACGGGGTTTTTTTTACACATAGCTGCCAAATGGCCCTTATGCAATCGCCGCGGCGTTCGTGTCTACAGGTTCGTATACGCGAAAATCGCGTTTGTATTAATGCAGGATCCGGGGCAATTACAATGCGGTTATGCGTGACGGGAAATGGATCTGCGATAAGCTTTATAAAATAAGTATTTTGTGCCGCGCGCACTTCTAAGCTTGCACAAGAAAGATATCAGATAATTTTCCATTCATGTGACAGAAGTAATTACACATTCAACGCCAGGCAGTATATCTGAAATATTACGGACAAGCGCAGACTCATTGTAGCGATAGTACGTGATATCAAAGTGATTATGCTAATACGAGAATTACACTAAAAATCTGATTCTTAATTTTATATGTTTGTCCAATAAGTAAGATAAAGTTCACATTTAGTATTTATTATTATCACACAATAAAAATCGATTAAAATTCCTTTAAAGAGAGTGTCGAATTATCTTTTCGCACTTGCGTACGTACTTTCTAAATTTTCTGAAGTGACTTTTCACTCTTTTAGAGTGAATTTCACTCCAAAAGAGTGAAAACACGGCCACTCAAGTGACCGAGTGACAGTATTTTCAATCTTTT